GCTGCTGCTGCTCTTGCTGCTGCGGTGCCGGGCTTGGCGCTGCAGCTGCTGCAGCTCGATGCCCCAGAGGCGCTGTCGCTGCTGCTGCTTCGACTTAATGCAGCAAAGCAGTGGCTGTCGCAGCCTTATCCGCGTTGCTGCAGCAGCAGCAGCAGCAGCAGCAGCAGTGATAGCAGCAGCAGCACGAACGACAAATGTCTTTGTCAGTGCTGCAGCAGCAGGGGGTCTTTGTTGTTTGCTGCTGATGCTGTTGTCTCCCGTCTGCTTTGCTGCGCTGCGCTGCTGCACACATATTTAAAGGCTGTCTTCATCTCCTGTCCTGCTGCTGTGGAGCACTTGTCGCTGCTGCAGGTGTGTCTCCTTCACCTGTCTCTCTTCGTCTCTTCTCTGTCTCCTCCGTCTGTCTCTCTGCTGTCTCTCTTTTTTATATTCATCTGTCTCCTGTCTCCTTCATCTGTCTCCTCCGTCTGTCTCTCTTTGTTTCTTCTTTGTCTCTCTTTTTTATATTCATCTGTCTCCTTGCTGTCTCCTCTTTGTCTCCTTTCTGTCTCCTCTCTCTGTCTCCTTGCTGTCTCTTGTCTGTCTGTCTTCTGTCTCTTTACTCTGCTTTCTTTGTCTCCTTTATCTGTCTCCTTCATCTGTCTCCTGCATCTGTCTCCTCTCTTTGTCTCTTCTCTGTCTCTTCTTTGTCTCTTCTCTGTCTCTCTTTCTTCTCTTCACTGTCTCCTTCATCTGTCTCCTTCATCTGTCTCCTCTTTGTCTCCTTTCTCTCTTCTCTCTGTCTCTCTTCCTTCTTTTTGTCTCCTTCATCTGTCTCCTCTCTCTGTCTCCTCTCTCTGTCTCCTTCATCTGTCTCCTGCATCTGTCTCCTTCATCTGTCTCCTTCATCTGTCTCTTATCTGTCTCTTCTCTGTCTCTCTTTTTTATCTTCTCCGTCTCTCTTTTTTATGTCCAGCTGTCTCCTCTCCTTCATCTGTCTCCTTCATCTGTCTCCTTCATCTGTCTCCTTTATCTGTCTCCTTCATCTGTCTCCTCTCTTTGTCTCCTTTATTTTTGTCTTTTGTTTCTTTGTGTCTCCTGGGTTGAGTTTGCTTCGTGTGCTGCGCCTCTCAGAAGGCCCTGCTTCTGCTGCTGCTTCTGCTGCTGCTGCTGTGGCACTGTTGCTGCTGCTGCCGCTGCTTCTGTTATTACGTTTCGTGCTTCGGCTCATGTGCTTCGTTTGCTGCTCCTGCTGCTGCTGCTGTTTGCTTCTGCTGCTGCTGCAGATGAAGTTGTATATTATGCTGGAGCCCTATTTGCTGCTAGACTTCCTCCGCGCTGCGGACGGCAGCTATGACTATGAACAAGCCTACGCAATGCTGCTGCACAACCCGCAGCAGCAGCAGCAGCAGCAGAAGCAGCAACAACAGCAGCAGCAGGCTACTGCAGCACAGGATGTTGGCAGCCCTGTTGCGTCTGATGCTGAAGGAGCGGCGGGCTTGTCTCCTTCGGCTGCTGCTGCTGCTGCTGGAGATGGAGACCGAGAAGAGACACTTGCGCAGCCCGCAGCAGCAGCAACAGCAACAGCAGCGGCAGCAGCAGCAGCAGCAGCAGCAGCAGCAGGTGCTTCGGAAGACATGCTGCAATCTCTGCATGCATGCTTCTTGAATATGGGGCCCGAAGCACCTCGCGCTGCTGCCTTCCTGCTGCAGCGGCTAGGGAGAGAGGAGGAGGCGGTGCTGCTGCTGCTGCTGCGCTGCAGCGATGTGGAGGCCGCTGTTTGCATTGCTGAGGAAGCTCAAGCAGCAGCAGCAGCAGCAGCGGCTTCTGCGGCTGCTGCTGCTCCTGCTGCTGCAGGAGATCCACCTCAGCAACCAGCGGACCCACAACCAGCAGATGAGCAGCAGCAGCAGCAGCAGCAGCAGCAGCAGCAGGGTTATGGAGGGTTGTGGCAATTGATTGTATCGGTTTGTTCTTCACGTAGTCATCTCCTTGTTGCTTTATTAGAAGCATTAGACAAACCTCTGCTGCAGCGCAGCAGCAGCGGCTGCTCGCTTCCCAGGATAGCAGCAGCAGCAGCAGCAGCAACAACAACAGGAACGGCAGCGGCGAACGGTGGACCTGCTCGTCTCCAGCTTATAAGAAGCGCCAGCGGCAGCAGCAGCGGCAACAGCAAAAGCAGCAGCAGCAGCAACAGCAACAGCAGTAAAAGGCTAACGCGCTGGCATTTGCTGCCGCTTTCTCTGGGGCAGCAGCTGCTGCAGCTGGTCCCTGGGCCAGTGCAGCACTTGCTGCCAGCGATCGAGCGTCGTGTTGCTTTGCTGCTGCAGCAGCAGCAGCAGCTGCTGGAGGTGCAGCAAGCAGCCTGCGCCTGTATGGAGGCGGAGAAGACTGCGCTGCAGTGGGAGCTCTACTTCAGCAGAAGACGCGGAGTCACTATCCGCAGCAGCAGCAGCAGCAGCAGCAGCAGCAGCAGCAGCAGCAGCGTGAGTGTAGGGTTGGGGGACAAATCGCAGCTCCGTCTGCTGATAGAAAATTCATCTCCTTGTTCTCCTGAGCTGCGCAGACAGCTGAAGGCAGCACGTGCTGCTGCAGCAGCTGCAGCAAGAGACACACAAACCCCTCCCCACCTCCTAAGTGGGCCCAGCAGCGCCCCCGTCAGCTTCACTTCGGCTTCCCTGCTGCTGCAGCCTCCAGCAGCAGCAGCAGCAGCAGCATCGGGAGCAGCAGGAAGAAGCCGTTCCAGCGCGACTTCACTGGCCACGAAGAAGCAGACAGCTGCAGCACCTGCTGCTCCAGCTGCTGCTGCATCCGGTGCACCTGGTGCAGCAGCTGCTGCTGCTGCTGCACTTAAGGGGAGACAAGCAGCCTTTGGCAGGGGTCGTGTGGGCAGCCTCTGCGTTATTTGCTGCAGGCCTCTTGCTGGGCCTGCTGGGAGGCGCACTGAGTTCAATACTGCTGCAAAGGCAGCAGCAGCAGCAACAGCAGCAGCAGATGAGTATGAATTAGCTTTCCACTCAGCAGCAGCAGCAACAGCATTCAGCACATCCTCACCACAACAAGACACTCCGAGGACATTTGCTTCGCCAGCAGAAGCAGCCCAGGGAAGTCTAGAGGCTTCTGAAGCGCCAGCAGCAGCAGGAGCTGCTGCTGCTGCTGCTGCTGGTGTAGATGTAGAGGAACAAGTACAGCCCCAGCAGCAGCAAGATAAAATAGTCGTCTTTTGGTGCGGCCACTGCATGCATAGCAGCTGCTGCGAGCGCAGCAACGGGCATACAAACGAGAAAGATAGAGACAGGTTAAATAATACAAGCCTGCTCTGTGCTTTGTGCTGCTTTGCTGCTGCTGCTGCCTGGAGAGGCCCGTGGGGCCCACCTGCGGGGTGCAGAAGCCCAGCAGCAGCAGCAACAGCAACAGCAGCAGAAGATTGCTGCATCCATCGCTCTGACAGCCATGGAGAGAACTGAGCTGCCTAGCTACACTTCAGCTGCAGCGCATGCAGTAACTGCGGCGGCAGCAGCAGCAGCAGAAGACGCAGCAGCAAAAGCACCTGATTGCTGCTGTAACCTGCTGCTCTGTCAGATACGGCACATTGTGTTCCTGTTGCTGCAGCAGCAGCTGCTGCAGCAGCTGCTGCTGCTGCAGGGCCACAGCGTTAGGGGACAGATAAGCAAACCCCCTCTTTAAATGTTTCTTACACCTCTCACTGTTTGCTGCTGCAACGCCACCACGGCTCTAGCTTCCATTGCACTGCTGCAGGATTGAGTACCGATGCAACATTTGCTGCAGCAGCTGCCGCTGCAGCTCCTGCTGCTGCAGCAGCTGCTCGTTATATTAGCAGAAAGTAATCGATTGTCGCCGATGTAGCTCAGTCGGTAGAGCGCGAGGCTCTTAACCTCGTGGTCGCGGGTTCGAGCCCCGTCGTCGGCTGTTTTTCTCATTTAGACATCAAGTTGAAGCAAAGTATGCATTTAAAATTATATTAAATACGAGTACTTGTAATATAATACAGTATATGTAATATAATACAGTATATTATCACAAGTGTAGCTGAGTAGAGCAGTCTTATAACCTAATGACAACAAACTATTTAAAGAAACATTTTACGTGTTCGGCTGCATACAACTACACAAAACTGTTTTTCTTTTTCTGTTTATATTTCTAAACATGCATCTCGTTTGTGTTAAACTGCAGAAAAATGCGTGATCGAGGTGTATGTACACCTCAAATCGACAGTGTGGGGCCCGCTAACAAGAGAGATCGTCGCGGAGCTTTTCGTTTGTTGCAGCATATTTTAACAGATTAAATAAATGGTTAATTATTTAAATAGCTCTAAATAAAGAAGATGAAGGGCACAGCACAAGTAATTAAAGCGAAAATGAAAAATATAAAACAGCCGACGACGGGGCTCGAACCCGCGACCACGAGGTTAAGAGCCT